CACGCTTACACCTTTTGGCACAGTTTTTGCGCACCAATGCGGCCAAAAGCATCGCAGGCCTGCGAACAGTAATCTGCAAGCGAAAACACCAGAGGCAGGAACTGCAAAACAGATGAATTGCATAAAATCAAACTTTGCGTAAAGAACTAAACTGTTGCAAATGTCTAAATGTCTTGTGTGCATTGAGCAAAGAAGTTCCCGAAAATAACCCGATCTGTACAGTTGCATCTTTCTTTTACCTGCGCTAGTGCGCTTCCAGTTTGGGCACGATCCTCTCACTCACAGATTTTCATCTCATCATGTAGCCAATCAGATACTCGATTTACTCTGATCTGATTGGTTCAATAAACACGCCCGTCATCATAACACATCTTTAGCTTTATTTGGCTCAGAAATGTTCTCATTGCCGAAATGGTACTTTTAATGCAGACATATGTTAAATAAATAAATAAATAAATCATGATTGCTTCATAGGCTTTGCACCATTAGACCTCCATTCAGAAGACTTTACATGAGCTTCAGATTCTCCAGCAATAACAAAACTTTCTACACATACACAAAACACACACACATCTTGCTCATCGAAAATCTCAGAAATAACCCGTAGCGAGTGCAGAGTTACGGAGAGATTTAGGAAGAGGTTCAACTTTCACAACGTGCGGATTAAGGGCCGATAATATTATAATAAGATCCTCTTCATCCGTCAGGAGGGGAGCGATATCTGATCGGCTTATTTTTGGACATGCTTGCAGAGAAAGGCCCACCAAAACAAAGTTACTGAGTTTCACTTTTCACGTTTTCTGGGTTGGTAGAAGCACGATTATAGCACTGATTTTCATGATATATTTCTGAGGCAAATCCAATTGAGAACCACTGATTCAACAGCACCCGTGTACTTTATTAACATGTCTCTAAATTTGGAGAACTCAATGTCCATTTACCAAAAATGAGCATATCTATAGCTTGTGGCTCATTTTCCATTTTGTCTTGTTTGTGTCCGATCTCTCCTTCCTTTCTTCTAACTTTATCTGCGGTGTGGACTATGAGTAACGGCTCACTGGCCGTCTGAAAGTTAGTCACCTTCACGACACCACTTCCCTCGCTGGAGAAAAAGGGAAGCCTTTTCTTCCTCTCCCTCGGCTTCTCCTTTTGCCGCTGCGTCTAGACCCCAGTAAACAATGCCTTCTCCAGAAATTCTTTATTACGGGAGCCGTGGATCAAGAGCGGAGGGTAACATGAGTCCACGGACAGCGGGTAAACAGGCACGCGTGCTCAATGCTGCTCTTTATGCTGGAGGAGACGGAGAACGCATGGCGGAGAGGAAGACTTCAAAGTGACACGCCTCTGTCTTCACTGGCCCATTTAAAGCCAGTCGGGGAGGGGTGCCTGATTTCACATGAGATGTGTGAGATGCCGTCACAAAGATGCTTTTTAGCATATAGTGAGAGTCCGTGGGAGAGATGTGCGTGGGATGCTGATGTTACGTTATGGGAATTCTGCAAAGATCATTCACAGAGGAAATGTGGTGAGGGTTGAGAGAGCAGAACCATCTGAGAAGTAGACACAGATTGTGATGGAAAGCCCCTGAATTACCCAGTCGCAATTGGATTTTCAACCACATCATACAAATGTGAGCTTTTTCCTAATCAGGACGATAAAATCACAGAGAAATGAACGTGATGTGACATAAAGCAAGCTATTGTTAAATTTGTCATTTAAGAGCCGGTCACAATTGAATGTTCATTCATTCCATTGACTTCCATTAAAGGAGCATCTCACCCATTTCAACATTAATCTTTATTGAAAGTGGATCATATATGTAGCCGAAATGTAAAAGAATTTTTGAATTTGGTGCCCTCTTGACCTAACTAAATAACTTAAAGGCGCATTTGTATGTAAGACAACAACCCCACAATGCACCCACTAATCCAGAACAGCGCAACATCAGAAAATCACTCTTTCGTCTACAAGGCTAACGTTAGCTGCCACCAGAGAAATTAATTTCACACAAAATGTCTAGTTAGTTGGCTGTGGCGAGCAGGATGAGGGCGAGGGATATGAGAGCGGTGCGAGGACCGAATGAAAGGCACCAGTGAAGTCCCACCCACTGATCTGTAATAGGCCAGTAGGGTGAGTGGGTCCCACACCGGGAATAATGAGGAGGTAATGTTTGTAGTCTCTACACTTTTCAATGAAATGTGACTTCCTGCTTATTATGACGCAAAATGACGAGTTTTTACATCATAATAAGCAGGAAGTAAAACACTTAAATCCTTATTTTCTCCCATCTCAGGCGAAAATAAGGGAATAAACCCATGACCATTCAAAATATGACTGGGTTTCTAAAGATACAAAGCTTCATGCAAATGGGGGAAGTGTCCCTTTAATACGAATGCAAATGTAGGAGATGCAAACTTCTCAGTTTTCCAAAGTTCAAGTTTAGCGAACGCCAACCAATACCAATAGAAGCCCAATAAAAGCCCAATAGAAGATTGATAGAAGACCAATAAAGACCAATAGAAGAGAAGATCGATAGAAGAGCAATAGAAGACTGATAGAAGATTGATAGAAGACCAATAGAAGACCAATAGAAGAGAAGATCAACAGAAGACCAATAGAAGACTGATAGAAGATTGATAGAAGCCTAATAGAAGACCAATAGAAGACCAATAGAAGACCAATATAAGGACAATAGAAGAGAAGATCGATAGAAGACCAATAGAAGAGAAGATCGATAAAAGCATAATAGAAGACCAATTGAAGACCAATAGAAGACCAATATAAGGACAATAGAAGAGAAGATCGATAAAAGACCAATAGAAGACCAATAGAAGATTGATAGAAGACCAATAGAATATTGATGGAAGACCAATAGAAGACCAATTGAAGACCAATAGAAGAGAAGATCGATAAAAGACTAATAGAAGATCAATAGAAGATCAATAGAAGATCGATATGTCATGTGACCTCTTACACTGTAAAAAGTAATAAGTTGACTTTACTAGGAAAAGCTGTGGAAACTGATTGCCTCAAAATTTTCAAGCAAATTAGGTCATCATTTTTGAGTTGATACTACTCTCTACTTCTTTGTAGAGTTAACTTGTGTATTTGTAGAGGTTACCATAAAACTTGAGTACAGGTAACTTAATAATCTCAAGTTAAGGCAACTTACAGATTTAAGTTGAGATTTGTAAGCAGAACTTACACAAAACAGTTAATTTAACATGTCTGCTTGTTCTACTTACTAGAGGAATGTGTGGAAACTGATTGCCTTAAATTTCTCAAGCAAATTGTACTCAAAATTCTGAGTTGAGAATACAAAGAAAGACAACACATTTGGCAAACCACTAGAATGTTTATTTGTTCAAACAAAATATGTTAAAACATTACTGGCCCGCCAACAACATTTTAGAAATAAAGCACATAATGCACTCAAGAAAAAAAACAAAGTACTAAAGACAATAAAAACAATGTTTCTTTGTTTTTAACATCTTTACAAAGTGGTTGAAAGCAGAGCATGCAAGTCACACAGTTTGGTACAGAATTCCTTTCCTACTACAGTTCTCTTTAAAATTCTCTTCTTATAAAACTATTCCAAAACCAAACAAGTAACATAAATAAGGCTTTTTTTCTTTCCTTTTTTCTTTTCAACAATTGAAAAACAGTGAAGTATCTATAAAACAGTACTGAACAATTTTCTTTAGAGTTCTCTTAAATGAACACTCCACTGTTTTATTTCATATTAAGGGAATAGTTCACTTTGAAATTAATTTTGATATGTTGTATCTTACTTCAAGGGCATCCAAGATGTAGGAGTCTTTGTTTCCGCAGTGGTTTCAATTTTGATATTTTTAGGTCAAAGCGTTCTCGTCTGTCAGTCACATAATGCAGGTCTATGGTCACCACCACAAAGAGCATGCACAGAGAAGTCAAAATTAAATTTAATTTAATGACTCGTAAATGTAAGTACACATTGATGGCCTAAGACACGAAACGAGCGGTTTGTGTGAGGAAACGAACCGTATTTATATCGTTTTTACCTCTTGTTAACAGCCATGTCCAGCTGATCTGGATCAGATGTCCAACTGAACCGTATTGAACCATGTCCAACGTTCTGCAAGAAGTGATCTCGCGCGTCTACGTCACGCATTGTTTACACAGAGATTTACCTTTCACTAAACATATTTAGATATATCGAAATCATTTTTTATTGCGATTTCCTGTATATCTAAATATGTTTAGATCTTCACAGTGAAAGGTAAAACTTCCGAAATCTCCGTGTAAACAATGAGTGACTTAGACGCGCGCGAGATCACTTCCAGCGGAACGTTGGACATGGTTCAGTTCGGTTCAGTTGGACATCTGATCCAGATCAGTTGAACATGGCTGTTAACAAGAGGTAAAAACGATATAAATACTGTTCGTTTTCTCACAAACCACTCGTTTCTTGTCTTAGGCATCAATGTGTACTTACATTTACAAGTCATTAAATAATGTTTAATTTTGACTTCTCTGTGCATGCTTTTTGACGTGGACCCCTAAACATCCATTGTATGACTGACAGACAAGAACGGTTTGACCGAAAAATGTAAAAATTGAAAATACTGTGGAAACAAAGACACCTACATCTTGGATTCCCTTGAGGTAAGATAAAAGATATCAAAAATTAATTTCAAAGTGAACTATCCCTTTAAACTATGTTATTTCCTCACAAAGACGAGTTGATACATACCTCTCACGTCTCAGTGCGTGCACTCAATCGCTTTAGCGCAACGCGACACATTGATAGCACTTAGCTTAGCACAGTTTATTCATTAGGATCCAAAAAGAGATGAAGTTAGAAGCGACCAAACACCTCCACGTTTTCCCTATTTAAATACAGTTACACGTTGGTAAGTAGTTACATGACCGAGAATGGTGTATGATTACACCAGTGTAAAATGGATAACTATAATGTATGGCGGAATAGCACTTGAGAGCACTTCGACTTGGCGGCAGTAATATCATCACTCCTAAAAAATCCTCTCATCATCAGTAGTGATGATATTACTGTGCCAAGTCGAAGCGCTCTCAAGTGCTATTCCGCCATACATTGTAGTTCTCCACTTTACACGCTTAGAAAAGCGGCACATTTTATTTTGTCACCATACTTGGTCGTATAACTACTTGTGTAACTGTATTTAAATAGGGAAAATGTGGAGGTGTTTGGTAGCTTCACTGCTTGGATCCTAATGAATGAACAGGGCTAGTTAAGGGCTATCAAAGTTTCGCTGCACGTCAGAGAAATTAAGTGTACGGCGCACTGAAACGAGAGAGGTATGTAACAACTTGTCTTAGTTAAGGTAATAAAATAGTTTAATATAAAGAAAAATGGTGGAGTGTTCCTTTAAAGACAGCTCATTGCTTGTGGAAGATTTTCAAGATCATCCACAACCACTGTACCTTCCAGAATGATTGCCGTTGTTGTGGCATCAAGATGCAGGGAGTAGGGTATGGCAGCGGTTGCAGACGATTCGGAAATCACTGTCAGAACTCATTTCAATGTTGGACATATCTTCATTGTCATCACAGTCCTAAAAATGGAATAGCATATAACAAAAATTAGGTCATAGAACAAGACATATTTTAACGGAACACTCCACTATTTTTTCATATTAAACTATGTTACTCTCTTTACTAAGACGAGTTGATACATACCTCTGTCGTCTCAGTGCGTGCACTCAATGCTTCTGGCGTGCGGAGACACTTTAACACTTAGCTTAGCCCAGTTTATTTAAACAGAGAAGCGACCAAACATCTCCACATTTTCTCTATTCAAATGTGGTTACACGGCCAAGTATGGTGACACAAAATAAAATATGGCGGTGTTTGGTCACTTCTAACTTCATCTCAATTTGCATCCTAATGAATGAACTGGGCTAAGCTAAGTGCTAACAATGTTTCTCCATGCACCAGAGCGATTGAGTGCAGGCACTGAGACGAGAGAGGTATTCATAGAGAGGTATTCATCAACTCGTCTTTGTTAAGGGAATAACATAGTTTAATATGGAACAAAATGGTGGAGTGTTACTATAAAGGGATAGTCCACTCAAAAATTAAAATCTTGTCTTAATTTACTCACCCTCAAGTTGTTATAAACCTGTATGAGTTTTTTTTTTTTCATCTGCTGAACTGAAAGAAGATATTTGATGAATGTTGGTAACCAGACTGTTGAGAGTAGCCATTGACTTCCATAGTGGGAAAAAAACTATGGAAGTCAATGGCTAATCTCAACTGTTTGATTACCGAACTTCTTCAAAATATATTATTTTGTGTTCAATATAAGAAAGAAACTCAAAGAGGTTTGGAATAACATAAGAGTGAGTAAATAACAACATCATTTCATTTTGGGTGATCTATCCCTTTAAGAGCACATAGTCATTAAAATATGAAACTAAATTTAATAACCCTTTGTGTCTAAATGTAAAGGCCTTTTCAAAGAGGACACAGCAGTGAATCCAGGGGGAAAAACATTCATCAAACCACTGCATGAAAAGACAAATAAAACTGATGGCCGGTTATATAAATTAAAACTAATATAAAATGTATCTTCTAACTGTCTTTTTTCTTCTAAACTCTTAATTTATCTTTCACTTTCTTTTCTCCAACCCTTACTTTGTTTCACTGTCCTGACAGTTTTTCATGCCTTTCTTCTTGCCAGATATCAACTGTTTGAAGAACAGTTAGACTGTTAAACAAGAATCACATCAGAGATGAAAATACTTACAAAAGATGTCTTGTAAAAATCATTGTGGTCCTCCTCGAAAAGTAGTGGTAGGCCATGATGAAGAACGCTGTTCGTTCCGCATTGATATTAGATTTCTGCAAAGTTATAAAAATGTATATTGAATAGCACTCGATAGTAGCAAAACGTCAGAGCAAAAAACAACAGTAAAAGCAACATATGTTTTGCAATCGAGACATAATTGTGATATGTCGATGAGCTTACGTCATTTTGAATCTGCTGCAGAATCTTAAGTTTGGAGCCAATATAGTATCTCCAGATTTAGCCTTGAATTTATTGATGAAACGTTGAGCGAATCTGTCACAAAATAAAGACAAAATAAGGTAATAACTGCTTGTTAGTTACACTTCTTAATTAATGCGTCATGTAATTAATTTTCATGTGAACGACACGTGAGCATTGAACTTTCTAGAAAGAAGGAAAGTTACGTTAGCTGCTATCTAGGCCGCACAGCCAGGGTTTTTACATTTTAGATAAACCCCAAACTTAAACGATTAACACAGCATACAAAATGTAACTAATATAAAACACGTGTTCAGTAAAAATCGTTTTTTAATCTAGTAACTTATGCCGCTTGTCTCAACTGGTCTCATTCGACATAAAACTAACGTTACTTCAGTGTGTCTTTTCCTCTTACTGCACAATGAGCAAAATAAATTCTGTTTTTAAGCTATACAATGACATTAAAGTTGATAAATAGTTGTTCAAGAGGCTAGCATACCTAGTTTTGCTGCCGCATCCATTCCCGAACACGAGCTGAAGTCCCTCGTCGATGTCGTCTCGTCTTGACGTCTTCCTCAAGTTCAACCGTCCAATTGCGCAAATGCGCATGCGCGAGTTGAAAAAAAAAAAAAAATAACCGAGTTGTTTCGTCTTATGCTGAAACTTAATAACCAAAGTAAATGTATAAAGATTTGTTTCTAAAAATATAAAGGACTGTGAAGTAGCAGCCGATGTGCTTGCTTTTTATCTTCCCAGTTATTTTTTTAAGCGTGCAGGAAAAAAAGATTCAGAACCTATTAACTATATATTAACCTATTAACTATTTTCAAACTAATTGTATGGTATTTACTAAAAATGTTGTTAATTTCACTATTATTATTATTATTACTATCCAAATTCTGTGCTCCAGAAATTTTCAACAGTGTGAAAATGCCTTTAGTACAATACACTTACCAAACTTAAGTACAATGTACTAGATTTGTTTAGTTTGACTATTGCATCCACCTAAAAGTTCACAGTACACAGTGTAATCAAGTTAAATCAACTAAGTTTCTAAAGTAAGTTAAATTCACTAGTTTTTCTTAAGTAGAATCAGCAATTACTTTTTACAGTGTAGCTGAATTTAAAGAATGCAAACTTTAAATCTGCAGGATTGCAGCATTGCAGTAACATGGAGTTGATATTTGTATATAATTTTTAATATTTTTACATTTAGGATGGAATTATTTGTACAGAGTATGACAACATATTACTACCATCTGTAGCAAAGTCTAGTCTGACTGCGGCATTCTGGTCTTTGCTGAGACAAGCGAAACTATTAGAGATTTAAATAAAACCCCGACACGGATTCTCAAACGAGGGTTTGTGAGTTGATGAGAAGCTAATAATTATTTCAATTGAATGTAACTTTTTAAAATGCTGCTGAACAATAAATCACAAGAAGATGTATTTAAAGAACATAATCTTTAGCGTTGCGTGTTTTAGACTGTGTTTATTTACACATGAGAAGCTTATGATTGGTTGTTGAAACAGGGTTAGTTGTTATGGGAAGACGGAAGCAGGAACCGCCATTCAACAGTTTAATAAATAAATAAACAAATACAAAAATGAAAGTATAAGCCAGCAGCCCCTCACGGACGACTGCAGGCCACATAAAACAGACACAAAACACGACACAGAATCAGGCCTGTTCCTCTCTCCATCTTCACTGTCGTCGCTCCTCCGTGAGAGATACGAGACCGGTGCGTCTCACAGCTGTCGTTCATTATCACTCACGCCACCTCGTCCTGCTCGACACTGTTGTTTTTAGAGTTCAGTAAATGCCGAACTCATGAACTTCATCTCTCCATCTCTGATGTTTAATGTGCAATTGGGAAAGTGAGGAGCACTAGGTTCACTTGATTTACATTCATTTAAACAGCATTTCACCAGTATTCCAACACAAAAGGAGCTAGCTAATGTGCAAATGTGTTGTTAAATTATCAAATAATTAACTTAAAAGCTCAGGGGGACTTGCAATGTGCTAAAAGCAATCTTAAACACTGTAGAAATTGTCACTATTCCCCTCACTACAGTGTGTTTTACAGCCATCTTTACTCGTGCACACGTCCGTCATGAGCCAATCACCTGAGCTGAGAATGCTCTCAGTCCCAAGCACACAGTTAATATTATTATTTTAACTCCAGCATTTGTTAAAAACAGGGAGTCAAATACATAACTGTCACTCATTTCTGGTTGGGTCACATTTGTCATTGTTCAGCTAATTTTGGTCTCACACACAGGCTTTGAGTGGATGACGAGTGCGAGACGCCGAAATGGATCAGGACGCATGCCGCGTCCAGTTGCAAAAGCATGTGAAAAAACTACAAAGTTTGCTAGGACAAAAAGACCGTTAATCGCGCGATAAAAAAATTAACGCCGTTAAAATGGGTTTGCGTTAACGCCGTTAATAACGCGTTAAACTGGCAGCCCTAAATACAATCAAATGTATTCTATCAAATTATTTTCTTAATGAATAGCGAAAGTTTGTGTATTAGGAGACGCATTAACATAAAGTAAGATACAGTGTCATTTAAGTCATTTCCTCGGCCCTCGTTACATCGGGTGTCGTTTTGCCAGTTGCTTGAGTCTGCTCAGCATGAGGGTTCGGGTTTCCTCGTTCACAGTGACGTTCCCTTGATATTTGTGTCTCAGTGCTTACACAGGCCCCGGTGCCTTCTGTGCCGGATTAGGGGCCGCTTGCCAGACACACGTCTTGGCATAACACAGGCCATCGTGTGGGGTCACGGGATCATGCTGTCATGTGTTTAGACAGAGCCGTGTCCGAAATGTGAGGAAGCCGAGGGGTGAGTGTGTGTGCGGATCGATCCCTGACCCCGCCGCTCAGCTGTCACCGCAGACACGGTGTGTTTCAGAGGCGCTGGCGCGTCGCCTGTGTCTGCCTTAGTGGGAGGCGATACTACAGTTATCCGGATACATCAGAAACAGTGTCATTTCACAACAAACACCAAAAGATCACTGGAATGGCCCAGATCCGGCCCACATCCGGGCCTCGTTTATGACCGCTGCGTCGCACAACAACAGGCCCTGAATGAGCCGTACGCCACCTCACACACACACACACGCGGTGATTTATAAACACACACTTGCCGGGAGAACGTGTCAGTACATCTGTAGGTACCTCTGATCCTGCGTACGAACATCTGCCGTTTAACGACACCGATGATGATCTGAGGAACTGATGACGGAAAACACTGTAATATTCATTATGAGTCCTAATCATAAATACAGTGCCTGTTCACAATAACAGTTTAAATACATAAAAGATTGATCTGATACACAACTTTAGATTAAATATGCCATTCTCGTTAATGGCGTTAAGCACTTAAACTAGGCCTACATGAAATCATTACCGAAGTTACAACATTTTTTATATTCTAATAAATAGAAATATTTGTATGCGATGCTTTTGAACACGTTTCCCGTGGCATCCTGTGTTTTAATGTTTTAACGATAGCTTAGCGAATGATAATAGCAGAACTAACAAATATTTTCACTTTTATTGGGAAGCTCTCCGGCAATCTCACATTTATCCGGACGTCATTACAGAACACACTCTTGCGTTTTCCTTGATCTGGCCGACATGTTTCCGATCTGTCTGAGCTGATGCGGAGAGACCAGACATAATAAAGACAATAACTCATCACTTACGCAATCGCCCTCATGTTTCGCCGACGATTCAGGGAAACTATATCTTTAACAACACCGTAAAAGTGAGAGTAGCACATCGCAGACACATGCAGGATAAACACATCTATCGGAGAAACGTGGTTTTGAATGCAGTTTTCACAACATATTCACTTTTATCCACTCGGGAGAACGTCTTCAAAAAGGCCAAAACGTAGACAGATGCATTTTCAAGTTATGACAGCAAGACGACATGCACATCTTTAATAATAGCAGCTTTAAATGTAAACGTTCAGAGGTCAAAGTGGCCTTGCGAATGGGAATGAGTTTTATTGAGGAAAGTGTAAATGATGGGCTCGTTTTGTGGTCCGTTTACGATTGGACAAACACACGCCGACATCTGCAGGTGATGAATGTCCTTTTTGCTCATCTTTGTTTGTGCTTATGGTGAAAGTGTACGAGCTGTTAATATTTGTGGAGTGATACTTTTTCTTCTTGTGAACTCAGTTTGGCATGTTGTGTAGAGGAGTGCAGTTTCAGCCGCGGGGTGTGTGTGTGTGTGTGTGTGTGTGTGTGCTGCAGTTTTAGCCTGCAGGGTTAACGAGAACAGGTGTTTCTCATGTTCGAGTGATGAGATCTTAGCGCTGAACAAAAGGGAAAGTATTATCCCAACAGAATATGACAGATCTTCTACACTGCATGCGAACGAGACTTGCTGAGCTCGGCACATTATAAGACGGCTATCCGTATAAACACCAATCCGTATGAATCATAAGGATAAACCCATAAACATTGATCCACGCCCATATATGGTAAATGTAAGCTCAAACCTCATTGGTTCTCGTATGAAATCGGTTTGTGATATAAAGCGTGTCTCTTCAGAAGACTTGAATAAACTCCACACTCTAAGAAATGCTGGGTTGTTTTAAATAAATTTTGGGTCAAATATGGACAAACCCAGCCGTTAGGTTACATTTTTAATTGCAACGTTTGGGTTTGTCCATATTTGACCCAAAATTTAATTAAAACAACCAGCATTTTTAGAGTGCATATCTCTTTATGAATGTTTATAGAGAAAGAAAATATCCTCTATTTTGGAACGGGCTTTATGTAACATCTGTGGTGCCGACAAATCTACAAAAATATACAGATCTACAAATATACAGATCTACAAATATACAGAACTAAAAATCTACAAATATACAGTTCTACAAATATACAGATCTACAAATCTACAAATATACAGATCTACAAATCTACAAATATACAGAACTACAAATATCCAGATCTACAGAACTAAAAATATCCAGATCTACAAATCTACAAATATACAGATCTACAAATCTACAAATATACAGAACTACAAATATACAGATCTACAAATCTACAAATATACAGATCTACAAATCTACAAATATACAGAACTACAAATCTACAAATATACAGAACTACAAATATCCAGATCTACAAATCTACAAATATACAGATCTACAAATCTACAGATCTAAAAATATAAAAATATACAGATAAACAAATTTACAGATCTACAAATCTACAGATCTACAAATATAAAAAATGTACAGATATACAAATCTACAAATATGCAGATCTACAAATATACAAATATACAGATAAACAAATTTACAGATCTACAAATCTACAGATCTACAAATCTACAAATATACAGATCTACAAATCTACAGCTCTACAAATATAAAAATATACAGATAAACAAATTTACAGATCTACAAATCTACAAATTTACAGATCTACAAATCTACAGATCTACAAATCTACAAATCTACAAATTTACAGATCTACAAATCTACAAATTTACAGATCTACAAATCTACAAATTTACAGATCTACAAATCTACAGATCTATAAATCTACAGATCTACAAATCTACAAATATACAGAACT